TGACCCCCAGCTGGTGGTCAAGCCAGAAAGAACTGGGTTCAAGTCCTGCCTTTGAAACACACTGCCTATATATGACCCTGGGCAGTGCAGGAGGTAACCCTAAGAATAAGCTGCAGAGGAAGGGTCTGCCCGCATGAGTACAAAGTTCTCTCATCTGGGAGTTATCTCCAAGGGAATCAGGGCTCAGAGTCCCGTCTATCCCTACTTTTCAGGGAAAGGAGATAGAAACACTAAAATGAACCAGTGCCTTCCCTCAACGAGCTTGGACTCCAGTAGAATCAGAAGTGGATTACTAGGCTTCCATATGGTGTACGTGAGAAGAGTTAAGCACACTGGGCTTTGGGGCACTTTAAAGCTGCTCTGTTGGTGATGATAACTGCCACACTTAGGCTTAAAAGCCCTCTGATCTCTTTAGATCTGTTTTTCAAATTTCCAGGAATCTTCAGTATGTTTAAATAACTGCCAAAAGGCCTTGTCCGTGAGACCACCACTGCTCCTTCCAGCTGAATGGTGGACAAAGCCATCCCCCTTCAGATAGCTCCTGCCTCTCACCCAGGTGGGGAGCTAGCCTTGCCAGGATCTTGTATTTCTGTTGAAGTGATCGCTCTCCCATGTCACAACCCAGGAAGCAGGCTGGTCTTGGCCTATTGACCTGTTATTTAGCGGGTGAATGAGGTTCTGAGCTCAGGTACGCATTCCTGTTCTGTGGGCTTCAGACAAAGTTGTTTATTCCAAGGCAAGTCTGTGGTATCTCCATTTTCTCAGCAGCGTATACTCTAACATTTTCTTGCTAGCACTCCTGTTCATACTTAGATATTTTTATCCATGTTCCTCCTAAGTGCTTTTCTTCCAAAGATCTCAGACCTAGCTTTATTTCCCCTCTGATAGTCTTGCTTTCTTATAGCCCTACCTGGCTGCTCTGTCTTCATCTGGACAGATGTTTCTAGTTCATTCAGAACCCTTGTAACAGGCCAAGTGCCCTTGGGCAGTTTGGATAGATAAATTTATCCTCCTCCACTGAGTTTAAATAATCTAATGTCTACAAAACGTTGCTGAGTGTTCTGTGTCCTGTATACCTGAAATGTAGGATTTGGAATCAGGAACAGTTGTATTCAAATGCCACATCTCATGCTTCTTAGCTGTATGACTTTGGGCAAGTCACTTAACAGGTGAATACCTCAGTTTTCTCATCTGTAAAATGAGGATAACAATAGCACCTACCTCCCAGGATTGTAAGGACCCAATGAGATAAGCTTCTTGAGGTCAGGCACTGACTTTTTGCCCCTTTTTTTGTATTCTCAGGGCTTAGCATAGTGCCTGGCATGTAATGAGCACTTAATGAATGTTGATTGATTGATTTGATTAACTAATGATTAGAATGATTGCATGGATGCAGTCACTCAGTGTGGCCACTAGATAGCGCTCCTTGGTGATGCTGACAACCTCTGGTATATGGAACTCCTGAGTGAGCAAATTCCTACTGCTGCAGGTCAACACCATCCTGGCAATTTATGGTCTTGAGAGTTGCCTAAAGGAGCAGCTCTCAAACTTTTTGATCCCAGGTTTTAAAAAACAGCTTCTGTTTATGTGGGCTGTATGTATGGATACTTGCCATGTTCGAAATTAAAATGTCAGTATTATTGTGAAAATTGTTTTGACCTCCCAGAGACCCTTTGGGACTAGACTGCACTTTGGGAAGAACTGGCCTAGGTCCCAGAGAAGTTCAGTGACTTGCCCAGGATCACCCAATTATATATCAAAGGTGGGACTTACACCCTGGTCTTCCTGGCTTTGAGGCCAGCTCACTATCTACTGTACCACAATGCCCCATACAACCAAAAATCGAACTTTTCACTGATAATGCCTTCGATTTACCCTGTATATATCTTGTTTGTATGTAGCTGTTTGAATATGATCCAGTAGAATGTGAGCTTCTTGAGGGCAGGTACTGTCTTGGCCTTTCTTTGTATCCCCAGCACTTAGCACAGTGTGCCTGGTACACAGTAGGTGCTTATTAAATGCTTATTGACTCAACTTGACATTGTACCTTTATAACTAGCTCTTGATGTATACAAGAATCAGGTAAGTAGAACCATCATGCAAATAGAAATCCAAATAAGATTAGGACCTTTTTAATACTGCCCCTATTCCACTAATTTTGTATCTCTGGAAAAAAACTTTTTCAAACAGAACTTCTATTTTCCTTTGAAGATACATAAAATCTTCAGTTTCCTTGGTACCTGGCTAGCTATTTCAGGCATGCCTATCTATATCTAATATATCTGTGATTAGCAGTCTTACCCCTGTGTAAATTAACATCATCATATCTTAAAATGTTAGAGATCATTGAGTCTTAGAACCTCTCACTTTAGAGGAGGAGAGGAAAGGAAGTGACTTGTCCAAGGCCATACAACAAGAGACTAGAGAACTAGCCTATATTTATCACTTCAAGCCTTATACTTTTTCTGTGATACCAAGTTGACAATAACAATATTGAGATGAGTGATCATAAATTATATTGGAACTGAAACATGACAGAAAAAAACAACTGCTTATAACCACCCAGGTATTACTGCTCCATAAAAATTGAAAGTATAATAAATCAACAGATAGTATCATTCCAAATATTCCTCATTTCCAAAGTTCATGTAATAAATTATTCCATATCCCGCTGATTTGGGAGTTCCCTGTAGTGATGCACATCTAAGCCCCCTCCATGCTTGTCCATTCCTTGAGACTCTTGTCCGCACTGTCTTGAAAGTTTCTCCCAACATCCAGAAGGTAGCAGTGGGACACTGGGGCTATCCACCTTCCATCCCTCCCAACCCATGAAACATGGCATGAAAAGCTTCCAAAATAAACAGATGGAGTAGAAGAAACTAAGAACGTGTGGGAGTAGAGGGAAATACATGTCGCCTTATTGTCTTGTCAGCTGCTAGAGTACCGAGGATATATTCCCTGAGTCTTCAGAAGATGAGCTCGTATTCCACTACTCTTACTCCACTACAAAATTTTATCCCCCTGAGTAACAGTCGGTACAACATTAAATATAAAAAAAAGTAATATTTTCTATCTCCATCAAAAAATAGTAGAATAAGACATGAAAAAGACAAGAAAATTTCTATAGCACTTTACAGTTTGAAAATAATGAAGATGGGGAGCAGCTAGGTGGCGCAGTGGTTAGAGCACTGGCCCTGGCATCAGGAGGACCTGAGTTCAAATTTGGCCTCAGACACATGACATTTACTAGCTGTGTGACCCTGGGCAAGTCACTTAACCCCATTGCCTAGCCCCCCCCAAAAAAGAAAAGAAAGAAAATAATGAAGATGGGACCGTTGTCCCGGAGGGACATCACCCAAGATAGCTCATGTTTGCCTCTACCTCGGAGAAAGCGAGTGGGTCCTTGGAGGTACTCTCCTGGGCTGGGCTCCTCCCCAGTAGGACCTCCAACAGGACCCAGAGAGTTAGAAAGAACAACAATAGTCATTAGCATTTGCATAGTGCTTTAAAGTTTGAGAAACACTTGGCAGTTTTTCTCATTTGATCCTCACAGCAACCCTGGGAGGGAGGTGCTATTATCCCCATTTTACAGTTCATCTGTTATATGATTTGCCCACTGTCACACAGCCAGTGTGAGATAAGAATTGAACTCAGGCCTGCTCCATGACTGTTTCAGAGCTCACCTGCTGTTCCACCTGGCTGCCAGTTTCTTATTTGCAGTGCAAAATATTGAGCAGTTACCTCGCTGGTCCATGAGGTGTGTAAGTTTCAGGATCTGCCGCACTTGTTTCATGAGAAGGTGTGTGTCTAGCAGGGTGTTCTCTGAGCTAGAAGCAAGCTGAATGAGCCCTCAGAAGGCCAGCCTTTACAATTTGTTCATGTGTTCTACGTATCTCTGGATCCTAGGCTCCTGGCAAGGCTTAGGGCTGGAAGGAAGCTTGCAGGTCATTTAGAACAGATCACTCCTTTCATTTTATAGATGAGAAAACAAGCCTAGAGATGTTACCTGGCCACAAAGGTGAGTCACAGAGCCAGGATTTGAACCTAGTCTCTGGCTCTGTATCCAGCACTGTCCTAAGACTGAGCTTTGTGAGCAGTCTCTAGACTGAAAAACAAACAACCAATCTCAAGTATGGCCAGAGTCTGCTCAAAGCCAATACGACTGCCGAACATTTTAAATAGAAAACATTTCCCTACCCAGGGTGGCCTGCTTGGGCAACTCAGCCCAAATAAACTCATCCTGAACAATTTGCAAGAAGAGGATGCTGTGGGGCAGCTAGGTGACCCAGTGAATAGAGCACCGACCTTGGCATCAGGAGGACTTGAGTTCAAATGCAGCCTCAGACACTTGACACTTACTGGCTGTGTGACCTTAGGCAAGTCATTTAAGCCCAATTACCTTGCAAAAAAAAAAAAGATAAGGAGGCCATTGCCCTAGGATGACTGCAGATGATGGATTAATGTCCATAAGATGGGCAAGAGGGTGGAAAGAAGGAAGTATCAGATTTATTTTTCTTTTACAGGTTTTTTTTTGTACCTATCCTTCCAATGGTATCTTAAACTCATAAGAGGCAATAACGTTGGCTGCCATGATTGTGCAGAGGCAGCCAATGAGAGGCAGTGTGATGGCAAGACCACCGTGCTTGTGTCAGGAGAGTCTAGGAGTTCAAACCCTGCCTGACACTCATTGGCTGTGTGACCAAGAGCAAGTCGCTCAGCCTCAGTCTCCTTATCTTTAAAATGGGGATAACCATGGTGGCACTATCTACTTCATAGGGCTGTTGGACCAAAAGAGATGATGTAAGCAAATTGTCTTGTAATCCTTAAAGGGCTGTGTAAAAATCAGTTAGCAATTCAATGATAATGAGTTACAGTGCCATATAAATGCCAGTTATCATTAATTCAGTGATTCAGTGGATTAAGGCCAAGTCTTGCCGCTGACACATGATGACTATGTAATTATCGACAAGTCACTTAATCTCTTAATTCCCCAGAAAACTAAACTGACGAATTGCAGACATGTTGCTGTCCTATTCCCTTCCTCACCACCACCACCACCACCACCCATCAACATTTATTAAGTGCACTGAGGATTCAAAAACAGCACCCAGGTGCACTCAAGGAGCTAAAACATGGAAAAGGTAAGTGCAGAGGAGAGATTAGGCAAAGTGCCCCAAGAAAGATGAGAAGGGAGTGATGGCTGTCAGCTAGAGGAATCCCAGGAGGCTTCCTGGAAGAGGTGGCACATGATCTCACCTTGAAGAGAGACTTCAAGAGACTGAGCTTGATAAGAGAGGACTATATCTTTGGCATGGGAAAGAGTCTGAGCAAAGGAGTGGAGGTGGGAAACAAGTAGACCAAAATGAGAGATAGGGAGAAATCCAATCTGACTAAAGTGTAGACTAATACATGAAGGAGAGTAGTATGAAATACAGCTAGAAAGTTGGATTGGAGCCAGATGATGGAAGGCCTTGAATGCCAGGATACTTCCAGAATGGGGAACCCCTGAAAGTCCTGGTGTCCAAGTGGTGACTATGGAGAGAGCTCCTTTCTACCCTTAGTGGAAATGATTACTTTGAGAGTATATTTAAAATACTTATGTATTGTAAAATTGTAATGGCAGGGCCACTAATGATTCCTGCCCAAGTAACAATGGTGTCAATAAGCCTGAACCAGGAGAGGTTTTATTATTTCTTGAGCTCTTGTGTCACTGCAAAGGATGCTTGGCTCTTTTATACAAACACCTTAATCTGTCCTTGGTGACCCATCAAACCCTCCCTCATTATGGCCCCATTTCTTTCCCACAATAAGCTACCTATTTTTAACCATTTTCAGTAGGAAGCATTTATTTGGCCGCTCAGCATCCATTCATTCACTCATCCATTCACATTTGCCATCTTTGAATCATCTTCCACTCTTTACCATCCCTTACCACCCCCACCACCCCCATAGCCAGCCAGTTGCCAAGTTTTATTGACTTACCTCCACATCCCTTCCAACTGTTCTCTAATATGCCACTACCTTATTCAGGCTCTCCCCTGGTATTTCCTGTCATGGGGAATGATTGCTACATTCTCCTAACTGTTCTCTCTACCTCTACTTTCTCCAATCCATCTTCCACACAGCTGCCAAAATGGTACTCCTTTTTCAAGTATTACTAATGTCTTCTGTTTTTATTTCATGTTCATTTCTGAGTATATCCGTCTCACCTCCCCAAGCCAGCTAACCATCCCTTATAATCAAAATTATATTTCTAAAGCATAGGTTTGGACTATGTCGCTTCCCTGATCAGTAAACTCCTATGGCTCCCTCTTACCTCTAGGATGTTATAAATTCCTCCTTGGAGCATTTAAAGTCCTTCACAACCTGGCACCAACCTACCTTTCCAGGCACAATTTCATTCAGCCATCCTGGCTTTCTTTTCTTCTTTGCACATGACTCCATTTCCATCTCTGTTCTTTTGCATGAACTGTCCCCTATACATAGCCCCCAGTTTCCTTCCATTTTGAGGTCTAATACCACCTTCTACCCTCCTTCATGAGGCCTTTACTGATTTTCTCCAGCTGCCAGTCTCTTCTCCCCTCAAATTACCTTGTATTTGTTTTGTATATTTATATGGGTATGTATATTGTGGTAGAATGTACAGTCCTCAAGGTTTCTTTTTCTTTTTTTCTTTTTTTTGGCAATTGGGGTTAAGTGACTTGCCCAGGGTCACACAGCTAGTAAGTATGAAGTGTTTGGTCTGAGGCTGGATTTGAACTCAGGTCCTCCTGACTTCAGGGCCGGTGCTCTATCCACTGGGCCACCTAGCTGCTCCCAGTCCTCAAGGTTTCTGCCCAGCAGCACAATGTCTACCACAGAGTAGGTGCTGAATTTATTGATTGCATAAACACTGAGTACCTAGAAATATAACCAACACTGTATTTAGCCCTGGGGAGGGAGGGAAGTAGGGGAGAGCTACAAAGTGAGTGACACATGGTCCCTGCCTGCAGGGAATGAAAACCTAGTAAGATGCAGTCCATGAAAGGATCATATAGGAAGAACTGAAAGGGACCTTATAGGTCCCTTTGTCCAATTTCCTCCTTTTACAGAGAAGGAAACTGAGGCCCAGAGAGATGGAGTAGATTGCCCTAAGTCACTTAGGCAACAAAAAGCCCAATGATTTTTAGCCCCTGGTCATTTCAATTCTGAATCCAGTGCTCTGCTCTCACAGGTGGACTCTGCAGAAGAGGTCTGTGATGGTTACAGTTTCAAAGGCTGCATCTCTTACAATATCTTACCTTCTTTAGATGATTTTTTTCCTGTTGACTTTGGACTTGTTGATCCCGTCTCTTGCTTTTTTTGTCCAGAAGGCCTCAGTCTAGGGCCTTCACCTTGGGAAATGAACAAACAGATACTGTGGGTAACAATGCAATACCAATTGGACCAGTTGGACTGACATCAAAGGGCCTGGTCTGGCAGCAGCAAATGCTCCCAGATCTAAATTTATGATCGTCTTTATGAAGTAACAGATTAGTTTCTAAAAGAAAGGCTTCATTTCTTTCCTCTAGGTGACTGATCTGGGCCCTATGAGCTCAGTGGTTACCTTTATGCAAATCAGAGGCTAGTGAACATTTGACCTCTGAATCCCTCTCCTCAGGCAAGACTCTAGACCTGAAAGTTCCCCTTTAATCTTCCCCTTCCTCCATGGGAGGGGGATTTTTTGATTAGGTTTTCTCAGTATCACAACCTATCAGAGCTTGAAAGGACTTTAGAGAACACGTATTCCAACACCTCCATTTTACAGGCAGGAAAACCGAGATCCAAAGAAGGGAAATGACTTTCCTATCTAGCAGGGAAGGGAGTCAGGACTATAGCCTACATCTTCTGACTCCCTGCCCAATGTTATTTTCCTTTTCCTACACTGCCTCCCATCCTTCCTCCGTCCTGGAGGAGAGGAGACATTACTGAGCATAGGATTGGAGGCTCAGGCTTCCAACATCCCCTTTCTCTCCAACAGAAAAGAGTCAGTAGTTCTGGCAGGGCTGTAAGAGACAAATTGTACCTCTCGTCCTGGGGTACTTAGTCCAGGATCCGCAGGTTGATGGGCAGAATTCAGGGGCTGGCAAACTTAAATGGGAGAAAAAATGTACATCTTTATTTCCACTAACCTCTAACTGAAATGTAGCATTTCCTTCAATTATGAATGTAGATAACATACCACAGTAGTATTAGGAGAACCTATGACTTTGTCATCAATAGAATTTACTGATCTTTTCATATCATATTGCAGTTGTTACAGGTATCTCAAAATAGCTTTTATGCTCGTCACTACATTGAAATGACTGTAGTTATTAGAGCTGCTACTAGATCACAGGTAATCAAAGTCTTCCTGATTTCAGATGCTGGCAGGATATAGTCAGCCATCTATAGGCAAGCTTCCCCAGACTTCCAAAGGGGCCCATGACCCTGTCCAAAAGGTTAAGAAACCCTGTTCTAATCTATCCTGACATCTTTCCCCCAAGGCAAAAGGAAGGTTCTTTTTCCTTTTCCCCTATAACATAAGCTGGTCTTAACATGCTTTCTGAGATTCAGGTCCCATTACCCTCCCCACACCCCTATATCATCTATTCTCAAGCTCTGGAAGGTGCTTGTAGAAAGAAAAATAAAATTTTCTAATAGCTAGCATTTATACAGTACTGTAAAGTTTGTAAAACACTTTTCTCTGGCATCTCTGAGCTCTTTTTATAAGGTGAGTCTGGCATCCAAAAAAAGGGAAAAGGACCTATTTGTACAAAAATATTTATAACAGCTCTTTTTGTGGTGGCAAAGAATTTAAGAACTGAAAATCAAAGAGATGCCCATCAATTGGGGAATGGCTAAACAAGCTGTGGTATATGATTGTAATGGAACATTATTGTGCTATAAGAAATGAAAAGCAGGATGACTTCAGAAAAACCTGAAAAGACTTACATGAACTGATGCAAAGTGAAGTGAACAGAACCAGGAGAACATTGCATACAGTAACAGCCACATTGTGCGATGACTAAATTTGATAGACTTAGCTATTCTCAGCAATACAATGATCCAAGACAATCCCAAAGGACTAATGATGAAATATGCTATTCACCTCTAGAGAAAGAATTGATATTGATTGAATACAGACTGAAGCATGCTATTTTTCACTTTCTTTTTCTTTCTTCCTTTCTTTCTTTCTTTCTTTCTTTCTTTCTTTCTTTTCTTTCTTTCTTTCTTTCTCTTTCTTTCCTTCCTTCTTTCTTTCTTTCTTTCTTTCTTTCTTTCCTTCTTTTCTTTTCTTTCTTTCTTTCTTTCTTTCTTTCTTTCTTTCTTTCTTTCTTTCTTTCTTTCTTTCATTTTCCCCCTTTTATTCAAGTCTTTTTGTACAAAATGACTAATATGGAAATGTTTTACATGATTGCACATGTTTAACCTATTGTTTACTGTCTCATGGAGGGGGAGAGGAGAGGGAGGGATGGAATTAGGAACTAAAAACTTTTTTTAAAAAGTTTAAAATGGTTTTAACATATAATTGGGAGGAAATAAAATATATACAAAATAGATAATGGGGCAGAATGAAGTAATCTAGTGACTACAATTTTAAAAATAGGGTGAGTCTCAGGGTAATAAGGGGTTCCATCCTCTTCCAACTTCCTTCTCTTGGACTCAGGCTGTGGCCAGGGCTCTAAAGTTACCAAAATCCTGTTCTGAAGGGGATGGCAAAAGATGCCTCCCCTAAGTGTATTCAGCTGCTGCCCAACAATGCAAAAACCACAAAATTTGGAGTGGAAGACCTGAGTTCTGATCCCAGACCAGCAAGCATTTATAAAGTACCTAGTATGTACCATCACTGTTCTAGGTGCTCAGAATGCAAAGACCAAAACATAGAAATCTCCCAGTTCTCCAGGAGCTGGCATTCTATTTTTTTTAAGGTAATTGGGGTTAAGTGACTTGCCCAGGGTCACACAGCTAGTGTCAAGTGTTTGGTTTGAGGCCAGATTTGAACTCAGGTCCTGCTGACTTCAGGGCCAGTGCTCTATGCACTGCACCCCAGGAGCTGGCATTCTAAAGGAAGAGACAGGCATATATCTTAAATATAAGCACATTGTTCACAAATGAATTCAAGGTAATTATGGGAGGGCATGCACTAGCAACTGGAGGGAAGGGGAAGATGAGGAAAGGTTTCTGTCCGATGGTGGCACTAACTATGTGACCTTGGCTCCTTCCTCTGGGCTTGTATTCTTCTTTGTAAAATGAGGGGATGGGACAACATGATTTCCACAGTCCCTTCCAGTAATAAATCCTACAATCCAATAACCTGTGGGGACAAGGAACTCCCTTCCTGGTGAGGCAGCTTTCCCATCATCGGACTGTTGTGAGCCTCAGTTCCTTTTTTTTTTGTCAAATAGACATCATCATCTCCGGCCTCTTCACCCAGCAGAGATATTTTGAGGACAGGATCCACTAAGATCTCAGAAGTGATAGAAGTCCAAGCAGTACACAAAGCTAAGTGAGGGAAGGGCTGTGCCCCTGGGCAAGACTGAAGGAAAGTAGGACTTGGTAAGTCTGACTATGAGAGGCTGCCCTGGGATGCTGGGAAAGATGGGCTTGTTTCTCTCTCAGGTCTTGGTCAGTTCACTGAATCTAACACCTTCATTTCTCAGCTGGAGAACTGAAACCTAGAGAGGCCCAAGGTCACACAGAGCTAGAATTGAACATAGGTCTTCAGAGTGGTCTGGGGAAGAAGAATAAGTCCCTAGAAATAAGCTTGAGAGCTAGGGTTCTTGGGTTTCCTTCTCTGGGTCCCCATGAATTTGGAGATACTGAAGTTCCAGGGCTGCATCACAATCCTCTCTAATGTTCCTAAAGAGAGAGAACATGGTGAGTAAATCAGGGCCACACCTTGCTTTGCCCCTCGATTCTAAGCCACCCCCTTTTCTTGACCCTCCCCACACTCCGTAGTGGAGCTGCCTTCAGGCCTCTAGAGCAGCCTAGTTCCCTACAGAACAATTTTCTCCTCCCTGCATAAGGGCTGTCTCACCGTACCTCACTGCCTCCTGCTCATGAATTTATCTTTTCTCAATTCACATGGGAGATAGGGAGGATAGTAGGGCTGGGCTCATATTTATGATGATTGAGGAACATTGGACAAGGCCTACTGACTTCCTCCCCCAAGAGTAATATCCCCTTTACCAGCTTGTCACAGTGCCTGGAATTGTACTGTTAGAATATGTTCTTCCAGGACCTTAAGAAGCCTCTGAGAAAAACCCTAAACCTCTAGGAGAATAAGACCCTAAGTCCTTAACAACAAGCACCTTAGTGAGTAAGAGGGTGAGCCTCCCTGTGGGATTAGGGGGATGTCCCAGGAGGAGTGGTATTGAAGGCAGAGGTGAGAAGGAATGTAGGCATGTGGGAAGGGAGCCCTTGGCTTAATACCATGCCTCAGCACCTTGGTGAGTCAGCTCGAACCCACAGAGAGATATGACCAGCCCTGCCTCCCACACCACTGCATGGGAACAACACTGGACTGAGTTATCATACTCCAGCCTCTGCCACAGAATCACAATGGGATCTTTCCTCTTTCTGGGTCTCAGTTTACTGCTGTCTAAAATGAAGGAAAGTGTCTAGATCATCAGATCTGTGAGATACAGGCCCCAGGGAGACAGGCTGCTGAGACCAGCTCATTAAATGACCTAGCTGCAGAATGTGGAAGTAGGCCTTCTGAAGAGTGACTAACATAATGCTTCACACATTCATTTATTTTTCAAGTGGATGTGGCTGTTGTTGTGAGGAATAAGTATCCACTTTGTGGGGAAAACGTGACTGAGTATGCAGCTTTTTTTTTCTAGCGTGTTTTTTTCTCATTCGAGAGACACTGGTATGTGTGTGGGGGGGGGTATCCAAGAAATTTGCTGATATTAGATATGGAACCTCAAACTTGGAAAGAGTGGGAATGGCTGAACCAGAGGGTCTCAGAGGAGCCCTCCAGTTCTAAATCTCATGATTCATGCCTGAGTGTTCAAGTGTCTGGACAAGCACTGAGTCATCTTCCCAGCAGCCTCAGACTCTGTCCCCTCCCCCCACCTGTCTTCCTACAGCTCTCCTTGGCCTAATGGAAACTACTGGTCAGGGGGACACTTGTTCCCTGGGAATGCCACAGATTCTGGGCATTGAACTGGAGCCATTTGCCTCCATGGGCCAGGTCACTAAATCTCCCTGGGCCTCAGTTTCTTCATCTATTAAATGAGTTGGATTAGATGATTTCTGAGGTGACTTCCAGTTCTAAATCTATGACACTATGATCCTATGGGTCTGGATCATGAGGCCAGAAACACCAGCAGTTGGTTACAATCCCAGGTACCTACCTGGTTATGCCTCTTCTCTGGGCAGAAAGTTTCTGCAGCTCCCTCCTACCTGCTAAGTAAAATACCATTTTACATGGCATTCGAGGCCCCCCCCTTTTTTTTCAGGCAATTGGGGTTAAGTGACTTGCCAAGAGTCACACAACTAGTTAAGTGTCAAGTGTTTGGTCTGGGGTCATATTTGAACTCAGGTCCTCCTGACTTCAGGGCCGGTGCTCTATCCACTGTGCCACCTAGCTGCTCCCCATTTGAGGCCCTTTACAATCTGACACCACCCTAACTTTTTTTTTTAAGTCTTACTTTTGTTTTATTGAATTGTTTAATCCTTTCACATTTAAAGTTATAATTGTTAGGCTTGTATTTGTCTCTGTTTCTCTTAGTACTGCTTTTTAAAATTCAATTTTATTCTTTTCCATTGATTTGTACTTATTTCTTCTCCTTCCCACCCTTCCCCTCAATTAAACAAAAGAAAAAAAGATAAAGAAAACATTTGTAAAAAAAATATTTGTAGTCAAACAAAGCAAATTCCCCCAGTGGTTAGTTGTGTCCCAAAATATAGCATCCATTCTGTATCTTGAGTGTATCACCTCTCTGTCAGGAAGCAGGCGGTATGCTTCATCTTCAGTCTTCTGGAATGTTGGTTTTTCATTCCACTAATCAGAATTCTAAAATCTTTCAAAGTTGATTTTCTTTATAATGTTGTCATTATTGTGTAAACTGTTCTCCTGTTTCCGTTCATTTCACTCCACCTCAGTTCCAATAGATCTTTCCAGTTTCTCTAATATTGTCCATTTCATCATTTCTTATGACACAATACTATTCCATTAGTTATATATCATAATTTGTTTATGAACTGTCTGTTCATATCCCTTGAAAATTTATCTTTCAGGGAACCACTCTGGTTCTTATAAATTTGAATAATTACTTTATGTGTCTTGGGTATAACTTATCAGACAAACTTGCTGCAGAGATTTTTTTTTCTCTCCAGTTATCTGTTTCCTGTCTAATTGCAGAGGTTTTGTTTGTGAAAGAAAAAAACACTTTAACATTTAAAATTTAAATTTAAAACTTTAAAATTGTATAAAATCAAAATTGTCCATTTGATCTCTTACGATCCTCTCTCTCCTTTGTTTGGTCATGAATTTTCCCATGATGCCCTCCTTTACCACTAAGCCATGTATCATCCTACCTTTCCAACCCTCCATTCAGCCATATCTTCAGGACAAACAACACTGTGCCCCAAAGGACTCGCCTTATTCTCTCCAGGTCTTATTCCTGACCTCTTGAACATTCACATGCTATGGAAAGGGTACTCACTGGCTTTGGAATCAGAGCATTTGGCCTGTGATGCTCACTGTATGATGTGACCTTGGGCAAGTCAATTAACCTCCACGGGCTTCTCAGTTCCCTCATCTATAAGAGGATGGTGTTGGACTATTTGGCTTCTGAGGTCCCTGCTAGTTCTGAGTCAATGACTATATGATCCTTTTTTTCCCCTTCTTCCCCTTTTGAATCCTATTCATTCTTCTAAGTCCATTTGAAGGGGGCTCCTTCAAAGGCTCCAGGAAGCTTTTCCTCTTCTCACACAGTACTTTGTTATGCAGTCTTCTAAAAGTCCTTATTTGTAATGTTGTATATTCCACTCATCTGTAGATTGGTGAGATCTCTTAGGCGCAGCAACCTTGCATTATATTAACTTAGTATCTTTCCCACCACTAACCACATTGTTTTACACAAAGTTGCTATATAATAAGTTATAAAGTTATAAATGTGTGCCAGGTTTTGCGCAAAGAAAGCAGCTAAAATGAGAAGAGGAGGAGGTTAAGGGGGGAAAAAATCTTTGCCACAAATTTCTCTGATAAATGTATCATTTTAAATGATGCTAGGGAACTGATTTAAATGATAGTTAGGGAACTGATTGAAATTTATAAGAATTATAAGAATTCATAAGAATAAGAGCTATTCCTCGTGTTCCTCCTGGCCTAACAGAGATTCTTGGTCAGGGGGACTTGTTCCTTTGAGGCTATCCTTTTGTCAAGGGGATATAAACAGACAGTTTTCAGAGTAAGAATCTAAGTTATCAATAACATGAAAAAACGCTCCAAATCACTAGAGAAATGCAAATTAAAGCAACTGTGAGGTTCCTCCTCGCATCCCTTAGATTGGCAAAGTGGACCAAAAAGGGGAAATGACAAATGCTGGAGGAGCAGAGCTGTGAACTAGTCCAACCATTCTGGAAAAAGCAATTTGGAGCTATGCCCCAAAAGCTATTAAGCTGTCCATACCCTTTGACCTGGCAATACCACTGCTCAGCCCAAACCCTCAAAAACATCAAAGAAAAGTGGAAAAGGACTCATATGTTCAAAACATATTTATTGCAGCTCTTTTTGTAGGTGAGGAAAGCTGAAAATCGAAGGGGTGTCCATTATTTGGGGAATGGCTAAAGAAATTTTAGTATGTGAGTGTGATGGAATGCTATTGTGCTGTAAGAAATGATGAAGTGGATGGTTTCATAGAAACCCGGGATGATTTGTATGCACCGATGGAGTGAAATGAATTGTTCTCCTGAATGATTCACAATGAAAACACGCTACCCACTTCCTAATAGAGAGGTGATGGACTCATAGTGCAGATTGAGACATATTTCTTTTTTTGGACATAGACAATGCAGAAAATTGTTTTGCTCAACTATATATTTTTGTAACAGTTTTGTTTTCTTGCTTTCTCAATGGGGAGGGGGGAATGCAAGATGTGGGGGAGACAGGTACTTTCGTTGATTGAGAAAATTACGTTAAAAATAAATGTGTACTGAATACATGAAAAGATGCATGGAAAGATAAGTAACGGCACAAAGCTGTATAATAAATGTCATACAAAGGCAACAAATGCAGTAGAAGTTTCGAGGTGGCTAGGTAGATCAGTGGATAGAGTGCAGGGGTTGGGGTCAGGAAGACCTGAGTTCAAATCCTACCTCAGACATTTACCAACTCTGTGGAAAGTCATTTAACTTCTGCTTTCCTCAGATTCCTCATCTGTAAAGGGAGGATAATAATAACACCCGCCTTCCAGAGTCGTTGTGAGGACCAAATAAGTTGATGTTTGTAAAGCACAAAATAAAGTGTCATCATTAGGAGAGAAAGCATGCCTCAACCTTGGGTTCAGAGTGGGGCTAGGGAATTTGAGGACGTCCAACTAGTAGAGTCGGGATACCCAGTCCCTGTCCTCAAGGAATTTTCCACCCTCCTGACAGATAATAGGTATTTATTCATGGATGGCTAATAGCCCAGAGCCCCCTTTTTATTTCCCCCATTACACAAAAGACAAGTGGTCCCTCTCTCCAGCTGGAGGGAGATAGCAGAAGGCCCTTTCCTGGCCCAAGATCCTTCTTCTTAAGAGAACGAATGAATTCCTTAGGATTCTACATGGCTATCTGATTTCATTTTGTTACATGGGCACCCAGACTCATCTTAGGGTCATGAGATCATAGCCCTTCCCTTGACACCCAGGAACAAGAATGATAATAATAAAATCTAGCATTTATAAAGTGCTCTGGGATTTGCAAAGTGCTTTACATGTGTTAACTCATTTGATTCTCCCCAAACCCCTGTGAGATAGGTACTATTCTTATCCCTATTTTGCCGGTCAGGACACTAAGGCACAGAATGATGAAGTGATTGCCCAGGACCATGTAGCTAGTAAGCGTGAGGCAGGATATGAACTCAGATCTTCCTGACTCCAAGTCTCGTGCTCTATCCACTGCTCCACATAGTTTCCTATAAATAATAATAAAAGTTCTTACTATCAGAGTCATCGGGACGGTCACATGTTTCGACATCAAAATCGGATATGATTTCATGGGTAGAAATGACATGAAAGAAGATGCGTTACCATCTGCTTTGGACATCTTTCCACCGGATCTGCAGCTTCTTGTCTCCTCCTGGAGGATGTGAGCACCTGCGAACAAAGACCCTTTGAACCCTCAGGGCTTAGGACAATGCTTTGCTCGTGCTTAATAAAGGCGTTTTCTTTCTTCTCCTTTTTTTTTGTTCATTCATTCATTCATTCTTCATTCAAGTGTCACAACATCCCTGTGACTGGTATTATTCTTTCCATTTTAGAGTTGATGAAACTGAGGCTGAGGGAGGTTACACACAGCTAGGATTTGAACCCAGGTCTCCCTGAATGCACTCCTAGTTGAGAAGCCTGGGTTTGCACCTGCCATATAGCTGCTTATCTGTGTGATAACCCTTGGGATAGCCCTGGCTTCCTTATATATTAAGTAAGGTTACCAATCCCTGCTCTTTCTATCTCCTAGGGCTCCCAGGAGGCTTAAATAAGGTAAATCCCAATGCCATTAAGAACTCAGAAGTAAGGGAGAACTATCACTATTAGTAATAGTGGTACTAGTAGAGGGACAGCATGGTGGGATGGATAGAGAGAGGTGGCCTTGGAGTCAAAAGACCTGGGTTCAAGTCCTGACTTTGGCATATCCTGGTTGTATGACCCTGAATGAGTCACTTGCACTCAAGGTGCTCAAGACAAGTGATGTCCAACTCAAATAGAAATGGAGGCCACTGAACCATATATAAGGATCCCTGCAAGGTTGCATATTGACTTAGAAAACCATGGATTAAGATTATGAGGCAAGTATTTGACACCTCTGCTCTAGGCAGCTCTCTTTAAGCCTATATGGACCTATCTGTATTGGTGGTAGGATTTTCCCCTCCCAGGAGTTCCCTATATTGACAAAATCACAGGTCCAGGCTCCATCTCTAATAGCAATACCAATAAAAAAAACCTCTGCCTTTTGTCTACCTTTCCCAGAAAGCATGACACTCATAATTATATATATATATGTATATATGTGCATATAAACATGTATAACATATATGCATATATGTATATATGTGTGCACGTGTGTGTGTGTGTGTGTGTGTGTGTGTGTGTGTATAAGAGATCTCTGAGAATGCACAGGTTCCTGCTTTACTACCACTTTGTGACATAAGAAAGGTTTCCCATCTCTGCTAAGAGCAGCAAGGCTCTAGTTCATCTGTCTGTCTCTGTCTAGACTATTTCTTTCTGAAGTCCTTTCCTGGGTACTTTACATCCTGTTCTTGTGCTGGTCAGTTATCCAGTGGTCATGCACCACAAGCCAGCTGGGGAGTCTAACACACAGACCATCATCACTTCCCAATCCCCACAAGGCTGGAGAAAAAAATCCAAGGGAATGAAAATCCAGTGCTAGCTTCATACCGAGGACAGAGGGAGGAGTCAGCAGCCTGATGTGGCTTCAGCTCCTAGGTGAGAGCTGAAAGCGTCCTTAGTCATCATAGAAGTCTCATTCATATTTTCTGGATCAGGAAACTGAGGTTCAAAATGAGACAGGAATGTAACTAGGCTCACTTGGCCAATAGGACTTACATTCTGTATCCTTTGGAAAGTTTTTTTTTCAGTTTTCAGATGGCAGCTTCCAATAACAGTCCCCAAACTGGGGTGTTTGTGTGATGGGAAATAGAGCATCTAATGCCCTATGTTCCTAGTCAGCAGTTTGAGATAGGAGGTAGTTCCTCGGGTAACGCTGACCCTAGGCAAAACTACAAGCCAACTCTGTCCATGGCAACTTTGCTCCTGACCAAGGACCCCCAGGACCAGCACCCAAGAGGTCTGCTGACAAAGCCAGCTTCAGGAAATTCTGAGAACTGCTAGGCTCCATTGCAAATATGAAAACCTTGGGAAACCTTGCCTCTACTATCCCCTCCCTCCCAATACTCTGTCTGAGAGACCAGGAGGGAGAGAGAAGGGGAGACAGTGATTCCACACATCTCAGAGGCTCTCAATTCTCTATTTTTCTGTCACCATCTTTATTCCAGAACCCTAGGCTCCAAACTTTTGAGTCATCTATGACTACTCATTTTCCTTCAATCCCCACAACCCATCGACTTGCCAAGTTCTGCCTGTTCTTCCTATCTCTCCCATCTGTCCCTTCTTTTGCATTTCCTTGATAACCAAACTGGTCCAGGCTCTGATCCTATCATGCCTGGTTTTCAGATGCTTCTTAAGTGGTCTCTCTGCCTCAATTCCTCCTCTCTCCAATTTATTCTACACTGTCTGTCAGGTTCATCTTTCTAAAACACACCATGGAGCTGTGAATTGGTTCAATTATTCTGGAAAGCAATTAGGAAGTATGGTTAAAAAAAAAGGTTACTTAAACATTCATTCCATTAACCCAGAGAGTCTAGTGCTAGGCATGAGCTCCAAAGAGAGCCTCTCTCAAAAAGAGAAAGAAATACTAATTTACAGTATTTTATTAATAGTTTTGGTAGAAAAAAACTGGAAACAAAGGTACCCATTGATTGATGAATAGCTAAACAAAATGTGATACATGAATGAAATGGAATATTCCTACACTGTAAGAAATGGAGGTAGAGAGAATGTGGAAAATCATGGGAAGACATATGAACTGATCCAGAATGAAGTAAGCAGAACCAAGAAAACAATACACATGATGACTATGACAATGTAAAAAAGAACAACAAAACCAAACTGAATGTTGTTTAATTATTTTAGTAGTATTTTATTTTTTCCTATTATATGTAAAGATAATTTTTAGCATTCATTTTTTTTCAAAATATTGAGTTCTGATTTTTTTCTCCCTCCCCATTTCCCTCCCTAAAACAGTAAGCAATCTGATATAGGTGATGTAGGTGCAATCATGTAAAACATATTTCCACATTAGTTACAGTTGTGAAGGAAGAAACAGACCAAAAAGGAAAAAAAAACACAAAAAAGTAAAGAAAGTGAAAATAGTATGCTTCAATCTGCATTCAAAGTCCATTAGTTCTTTCTCTGGATGTGAATAGCACTTTCCATCATGAGTCCTTTGTAATTGTCTTGCACCACTGTACTGCTGAGAAGAGCTAAGTCATTCACAGTTATCATCACACAATGTTGCTGTTAATGTGTACAATGTTTTCCCGGTTCTGCTCTTAATATTGTATGATTATAATGACCAAGCTTGGCTTCAGACAATCAGAGAAGTCTGAAAGTTAGAAGGGACTTGAAATAGCCACCTAGGTCACACCATACCTGAAAAAAAAATACCACTACAATATGCTGGACAAGTGTTCATTCAGCCTCTGCTTGAAGACACCCCACCCTCTGCCAAGGGGGGAGAAAAAATTGAGAGTTTGTACCCTTTCTTCTTTGCAGAGGTGTGTATATGGGGAGGGATACAGGTGTGGAATATTGCATATCCAGTCAGAAATGGTTGATGTATTGACTGGTTTCGTTGAACTGCTTCCCTCTGCCCTCTTCTAAAAATGTTGTTTTATATTTGGAAATGAATGTGCTAGAACAAAAATGCATCACTGAAAACACCATTTTCTAAATCATAGATTCTTGGACTTCACAGTAAAGAGAGGACTGAGATAGGGTTGACCCATTTTCTCACTTCTTCCTACCTATTGGTTGAACCATTAACTACACAAACTAGAAATTTTGAGTAATGCGTGTATCTTATGACCTACTTTGTTCAAACTGTACTAAATTCACCTTGATAGGATTCAAGGTGAGAAGATCCTACACACTACTGGGAATAAACACGTCCTCGTGAATTTCTAATTTGATCACGGGTAATTATGCGAAAGTATTTGAGAGAATTTTTTAAAAACCAGTTACATTGATTCAGACAATTGAAATGCCTGAGTCCTCAGTTTTGTACCAGCAGATCTCCTTAAATCTTCAGTTGCTAATTAACTGGCAAAGAAATCATAGGCAATTTTACTTGGGATAAGGCAAGGACTGCAAAACAGGGAAACCCTGGGATGCCTATCACTGGGCATTCCTGCCTTGTATGGGACCAGATAACATTTGAGTCCCTTCTAACTCTGGGCTGCTGGGAAATAAACAAAGAAGTTAGGAGCCCCAGACTTTCTACTTTTAGCATAATGTCCATATGTTATTCCACGGAAACCCACATCTGTCTATCAGCACATATAATGTACCCATCAAACCCATTCCTCACCTCTATATCCAATGACTATCTCTTCCCTGATGCTTAGATAAGACTTGCAACACAGGTCTCCCCTCTACATGACTTGCCACCTCCTCTGTATTTATTTTGTATGTCCATAGTCATTAGCAGTCAACATTAGAATGGGAGCCCCTTGAAAGCAAACGCCAGGTTTTTGCCTTTTTTTTTGTATCCCCAACACTTAACATAGGCACATAGTAATTGCTTACAAAATGCTTGTTGATAATGAGGAGGAAGATGATGATGAAGACTGATAGGATTCATGATAAAGAGAGAAGCGGGTCTTCTTAATGTGAACATATTATTTATGACGTTATACCTTTTGACAGTGCCAAGGACTTTGGGTCCTAGGACTTTTCCCCACATCTTCAGTAGCTGGGGGTGGGGAGCGGGGTGGTAATGAGGAGGCAGGAACTGCAGCACCTGCAGAAGCAGTTGCCAGGTTGAATTACAAAAAGGGCAAATTTACTGGATAATGGTCACATGGAATGGACCAGAAGAAGAGCCCGTGGTCTTGAGGGGTGCCTTCATTCCACAGGTTCTTGGAGAGTTCATCAGGGTCTGAAAGAAGGTGGTTTAACTCAGTGGCACATACCACCTCTTGTTTCTTCTTTCAGAGGCAGTGATGATCCATGTCAACTGTCATATTTAGCAAAGTGTTAGTATTAAAAAGCTGGGCCTTTGTTTTTACCTAAAACCTGAGGTCATGAAAAATGCTCTAAAATTTCCCCAGAGCAACCTAGCCTGCTCTTCTCTTCTTTGGCAACTCTGGGAGAGGCTCATTGTTTATCTGCACTCTACCCCAGACAGACATACTGTTGTTGCACAAGCTCTAGAAAATATCCGTACAAGTGCATGTTGAAAGCTGGGCAGCAGACATTCTTCATCCACAGTCTTTCCTCTTGGATAGACAAGCCAAGCTCCTTTGAGGGATCAAAGATTTCTTCCAGGAGGCTCTACAGGTTTCTGTATAATCAGCACAACGTCCTCAGCAAACTGGAGCATCCTGGGGGCCTCATCATCCACGAAGAATCTGTCCTTGATCTAGACCGGTCACCAAATACTTTTGGACGGGAGATCCGGAATGACCTTGTTGTATGGATAGGAGATACCTAATGGCCAGTCCTTTAATAAATATTAATGCTTTACATACATTGTTTCATTTGGTCCTCAAAGGAGCCCTGTGAGGTAGAAATTCCCATTTCAGAGGAGACTGAGGTCATCTGGTGTGTGTGTGTGTGTGTGTGTGTGTGTGTGTGTGTGTGTGTGTGTGTAGGACATGTGCTTTCCAAACCATCTCTTGTGAATCCAAATTGGCTTCTCTTTCTACAACTTGCAGCTGCCTCCTCTTAATAACACATATTATCACCACGTGTGTGCATGTCGCCAGTCTTCCTTATTCTTTCTTGTCCATACAACTTAGGAGCTTTTGCACACATATTTCGGGACAGTATTCGTTGACGGAACGAATTACCGTATTACATGTTTTGGAAGGTAGAAGTCGCGCACCTCCGCTGCAGACTTAGGAATGTATAGAATTTTGCCTATCTGAAGATGTGGCCCTACAGAGCGAGCCTTTGGCATTTCTCGGCCATAGTTCAGGTGCTGGACAGAGCAGCTCCCACTGCCTTCCTGTGTTGAGAGGGTTCGTGGGGATTGGAGGGCTGCACCCCAAAGGCCACTCACCCCGTCACTCAGCCTCTGCTTTAATGGCCAAATCGAAGCTGAGGATAGGACTAAAGGGGAGGAGGGAAAGGGGACCAGCCGGGGTCAGCAGAGTGGCCGGTCTGGCCAGAGGCGGAGGAAGGGCCAAGGACAAAGGCTGCCTCCCGCCCGCGGGGTCCCTCCACGGATTCAGGACTTTTCAAGTTCCGGCAGTTTGGAAGTGGGCGGGGAGGACCCCTGAGGGGAGAAAGTTGCTTAATTTGGGATAAGAGAACTCGCGCTCCGCCAAACCCTGGGTGCAGAGAGTCCAACGCTCCCGGGAGGCCGCTGCAGCCTGTAGAACGTGCCCGGTATCCATGGATGGAACGTTCCCGGGAGCTATGGATGCCAAGCTCCCGGGAGGCAGCTGCGGCCCATAGAACGTCCCTGAGCTTGGGCTGGAACGTTCCCGGGAGGCGGCTGCAGCCCGTAGAGCGCCGCGGGAGCCGCAGATCTCACCCAGCGCCCCGGAGGCTGCTGCAGACCGAGGAACCCGAGCTCGCCCGCGCGCCGCCTGCTCCGCCCCTGCCGCCTTCTCCTCCTCCTCGTCCTCCGCCTCCTCGTCCTCCGCCTCCTCCGCCTACCCCCGCGCACTCCTGGCCAACATGGCGGCGGCAGCGGGGGTCGGGCGGGATAGTTTACCTGAGCACTGGTCCTACGGTGTCTGCAGGGACGGCCGCGTCTTTTTTATCGAGTGAGGGGCGGGGGCTGCGGGCGGGGGGCGCAGGGCCGGGAGAGGCGGGGCGGGGGAGGGTTTAGCGGCGCGGTTCTCCGCGCACCCCGTTTCCCTCCCGGCACTAACAGGTGCACGTCTCTCCCCGCCCCCCCGCAGTGACCAGCGCCGCTGCACTACCTGGCTGCACCCGCGCACCGGGGAGCCCGTCAACTCGGGCCACATGATCCGTTCAGGTGGGCGCGGGATCGGGGCTGGGGTAGGTGGGGGGGAGCGGACGGGAGGAGGCAGCGCGGGGCCGGGGCGCTGTGCACCCACAGTACCTGGGCGGGGAGGCGTTGTGGGCAAAAGTTTGAGCCGACTTTTCTGGGTCTCTTTCCCGGTCTCTTTCCACCTGTTTGGGCTGCCTCAGATCTGCCCCGCGGCTGGGAGGAGGGCTTCTCGGAGGAAGGCGCCAGCTACTTCATAGAGTGAGTCTTGGGGGCCCGCTATTGTGCGGCGGGGGCTGGGGAGGGGGCAGCCGGGGAGGGAGTAGGGCTGGTGGGGAGGCCTGGAGCTCTGGACCGCGTCGAGCCCGCCCTGCCGGACTTTGGCCGGCCCCGCCCGCACCTGGGCGCCATGGGGAGCGCCCCTGCCCACCCGGCACGTGAGTGGAGCCTCGGATGGACTGCGCTGGGGCTGGGGTCGGCCAGGTGCCCGGGTGCCACAGGGGGCTTTCCGTGTCCCCGGGTCTCAGGGGCCGGCCCCGCCCCCGGCTCGGATTCTGTTGGCGCGCACTGCCCAGGTTTCGAGAGCCGGCGTTTGTGCAGCCCAAGCGGCCTGGGGTGGGCTGGGGAGGGGCGGGGGGCGTGCAGGGGGCTGTGCCTTTTCCTCAGCAGAAGACATTGCTTCTCTCCAGTCCTCATCCCCTTCCTCCGAAGTTTGCATACTGTGAAGCATCGCTGGGGGTGGGGAGGGGTAGCAGTGTCTGTGGCCAGGATTCCAACTTCCCCCGATGTGACCTGCTTGTTGTGCTGAGAGAGGGGCATCGGGGGGACATATTTGCTAAGATCCCCTCTCGCCAATCTCTCCGGAGTCAGTGGTTCTGGGACTTGTTAGTTCTTCAGGGGCTGGTGTTTGAAGCACCAAAAGCTCTGCAATGCTGTGTTTCCCTCTTCTGCCTCCCAGTACATACAGATGGTAAAGTCAGCCCCTGGTGGGCAAGATGTGCCCTACCCTGTACTTTTTTCATAGCTCATATAGGGCTGCCAACATCTCAGCTGCCCAAGTAAGTACTTTTGAAATTAAAATAAAACTTACTGACTTTCTAACAGGACGAAATGTATCCCCCAGCTCTGTTCTCTTCCCCTAGCCCCCTGTCAGACTGCTAACAAATTTCCTCTGTTTCAATGCTCTCTTCTCCCCCCAACCCCTCCCCGATCAAGTCTGTGGCTAACTTGCGTGGAAACTCTAGGAGAGTTCTTTATCAAGCCCCTAGATCTTGCTGAGTGATTGTGGATAGGTCACTTAACTCTACCGAGTTAATCCTTTCAGTTCCATCAGCGGTAAAAAAACCGATAATGCCAGTGCTAGTGTAGGTGCCTCAGGGGCAGAGGGTGAAAGGGTAGACCTTGGAATCAGCCAGACCTCTGGCTTCCCACCCCCACTGACTATGATCCTGGGCAAGTCATTTAATCTCTGTTTGCCTCAGTTTCTTCATCTGTAAAATGGAAATGATAACATCTATCTTGTATAATTGTTTTGAGGGTCTAATGAGATTGGGTATGTAATGTACTTTGTAATTCTTAAAGTGCTTTATGGAAATAGGAGCTGTTATTATTTATTATGTGGTGTAAGGGAGGGAGGAAAGACCCTGGCTTTCTTTTTTGGAGAGGGCTATTGGTTTCCAGGATGCTGAGTAGAATATGAAAATAGCTTCTGGCATCTGGTTCTAGTAATGGGCCAACAATGATTTTGGAACTGTCAGGAGTTCAGTTTGATCTGTCACCATCATGATTACAGGTGCCCTAGGGGCATATAGGGCACTGGTGAAGTTATTTATCCGGACTCTTATAGCAGGTACTTGGGATCCCCTCGAGTGTTCCCCCCACCCCTTATCTTACATACCTGGTCTTCCTTGATAATAATATTACTTGACATATGTTTAATCTCATTTGAACCTCTCGTCAACTCTGGGAAGCTGGTATTACAGGTGTTAATATTTTCATTTTACAGATTAGGAAACTGAGCCTGAGAAATATTAAGTGACTTGTCTATAGTCAGGCAGTAATGGTCAGCGATGGGATTTGAACCCACCTCTTCCTGACTCCAAGGCTACTGCTCTATTATATCATACTGCCTGAGGCCAGGAGGATTGTGCATAGTAGGTCTTTATAGAGCTGAGACTGAAGTAGAAGTCCTATGTTTTCTAGCTTAGTTTTTCCAGTATGCCCTCATCAATATAATTAATGGAAACCCATAAAAGCAAATGGGGGGCAGCTAGGTGGCACAATGGATAGAGCACTGGCCTTGGATTCAGGAGGACCTGAGTTCAAATCTGGCCTCAGACACATAACACTTAGTAGCTGTGTGACCCTGGGCAAGTCACTTAACCCCATTGGCTAGCCAAAAAAAGGCAAATAGGGTCTTTGATCAGCTGGTGTCCAAAGAGTAAGCCAGGAATCTGGGAGGAAGGGAAAGGACTAGGTGGGCCTTAGTTTGGGGCAGTCAAGCCTTATGGGACTTCAGAGGCTAGAGGTGGTAGGCAACCTGTGGACATGCTGGCTGTGGGATGTGGAGACACAGTGAGCTGCTTTCCCTCTCTTTGAAGTGGCTCCAGATTCCCCTGTGATTGCCTCAGGGCTGGACATGTGTCTTGGCAACCCCCCAGTGAATATGAAATCCAGAGGAGCCTAGCTGGAGAGATGCTGCAGCAGATGCAAGAAAGATACCAGGACCATGGCCAGGGAAGGAGCCAGATTCTGCCCCTCCTCCCAGACTTCTGACTATGCCGGGTACACTTGAAGACCAACCTGGGCTGCAAGAAGATCCCCGATGGGGCTAGGCAGTCTGGACAGACTAAACCCCCTGATGTGACTGGTCTGGGTTGATGTTATGGGGCGGCCAGGTGCCTGATCTGCTGTCCTGGAAATTCTCATCTGTGGATAGCAGGAACTGGGGATGAAGACTCTAATACTCCCTCCCTGCCCTACCTCCATTCCAACCCCCGTGAGTATGACACGTGATACATCTTCTCCTGTAGATTAGGGCAGGCCCCTTCAGGGACAGCTGAGTCTTTCTTTGAGCTGAGGACCATGGCCTGTGACAGCATCACAGCAGGCACCTGCTCTCCCTCAGGTGTAACCAGGATATTTAGTTGCTTTTTGCTAACATAAGGTATTTTGCTTTTCCAGTAGTGGATTCTTAATGAGAAATAGCAGAGAAAAGGACATTAGACTCTGGAGTCAGGAGACTCAGGTTTCATTCCAAGCTCTCCCACTGGCTTACTGTGTAACCTTGGGTAAATCCTATTATTGACTGATGGAACTGAAAGGATTAACTCTATAGAGTTAAGTGACTTATCCACAATCACTCAGCAAGATCTAGGGGCTTGGTAAAGAACTGTCCCAGAGTTACCATGAAAGTTAGCCACAGACTTGGGGGGGCAGGTAGAGAGGGGGTGGAGGAGAGGGCAGAGTATTAAGCATTGAAACAGAGGAAATTTGTTAGCAGCCTGACAGGGAGTTAGGGGAAAGAGAACAGAGCTGGGGAATACATTTCCTCCTATTAGAAAAGACTTAAGGGGCAGCTAGGTGGTACAGTGGATAGAGCACCAGCCCTGGCGTCAGGAGGACTTGAGTTCAAATGTGACCTCAGACACATAATACTTCCTAGTTGTGTGACTCTGGGCAAGTCACTTAACTCACTTAGAAAAAAAAGGACTCAACCTCTCAGTTTCCTCATCTATAAAATGGAAGGTTTGTTTGGTAAGGCCCACTCTGGCTTGAAAATTCTTTTCATTCTCTCCCTCTAGTTCAATTCAACTGGACAACAATAATAATATCTAGTAATTTTTTTGTGTGTGTGTGAGGTGACTGGGGTTAAGTGACTTGCCCAAAGTCACACAGCTAGTAAGCGTTAAGTGTTTGAGGCTGGATTTGAATTCAGGTCTTCCTGACTCCAGGGCCGGTGCTCTATCCACTGCACCACCTAGCTGCCCAAATATCTAGCATTTTTACAATAATTTTAAGGTTTGCAAAGCACATATTCTGTATGTAATAGTCGTTTTGTTGGAATTATCATTACAATAACACTGAGTTAGTTGCTATTATTATCCCCCTTTTTACAGATAAGGAAACTGAGTTAGAAATTAAGTGACTTGCCCAAGGTCATAGCTATAGTAAGTACCTGAGGCAAGATTTTGAATTCTGGTCTTCCTGACTCTAAGGGCTACCCACCTGCCCATGTTCTACTTATGTAGCTCCTGCTACATTCCAGATCTGGTGCTAGGTTCTGGGAATGCAGAGACAAAAATGAAATGCTTCCTGCCCCAGAGTAGCTTATGTTCTCCTGGGAGGAACAACCTATACAGCTCCATTTCCTTTTCCTCTGCTCTTGTGACGCTCTTGCTGAACTTGGCCATATGTGGGTTAGAGAGTGATTGGCTAGTCCTCTTCTAAGGGTTCTATGGGATACATGCCACTACTTCGTTATTCGAAGTAAGTGAGACCTAACTGTTGTTACTACAGGGTGTTCCAAGGCTTTGGAAAGTCCCGGAGGGTTCCTCTGGCTGATTGGGGAGTTTAAGTGAGAGATCCCAAGAAACTGTAACTTGCAATTGAATGCCTAGTGGTTAGGCAGGTTGGGTAGCTACCCTGTCCCCAAAACACGGCCCTCCATGTTGCTAGGATAGCAGTGGCTTCTAGATCTGGGGCCATCCAGGATAGGAGATGGGATAGCAGTATCTCATGTTCTGTTACTAAGCCAAGCATTTGGCTTTTAAAAACAGGACAGAATGGAAGGACACATCCCAGATGCTGGATGTCACCACTTTTCCAAGAGGAAAAAAAATTCCATGTGTTGTGTATAAGGTTAAGGACAGCAATCCTCTTTTCCCACCTGAGATTAGAGAGAGAAGAGCAGTAGAAATAGTGGCAAACAGAGTGAGAATGGACTATTCTACAAGATGAGTCACTTGCTCACTTAAGACTGGCATCCTTGAAACCCCTTGGAGAATCCTTGAGATGTGGGTCTGAGTAAGCTACTTTCCCAAAGTTCCATTAAACCCTCATTCAATAAAACTCCAGCTTTGGAAAAGTAATTTTCCCAGTATGTCTAACACACTTTCCCCCAGGAATGCTGATTGATATATAATTCTTGAATGAGCAAAATGTGTGCAAGTTTGGAAATCCAACAGCTTTGTTTGTCATTGACTGGCAAAGATGGTCACTGAGATGGTGTCTCTGGAACTTTGTTAGTTTCTGATCTAAAT